TCTATGGTTATTAATAATGTCATGCGAATTCATGTGACCAAATATTAAATTAACAGTGTTGTTGCCGTTTACCGCCAGTGGTGTAACGACGTCCAGGAACTTTGCTTTTCACATACGCCGATTTCACACAAAACGTAACTTTCCTGATCACATTTCAGGAAACCGGATCTACGTGCAAATTAATATTTATTAGCTCCGTTTCAATTCATCCTCATTTCGGACCAGGTCCTGCAGTTAATTATACCGGAGATATATTTGATCCCTGTTGCTTTACGAAGCGGATTAAGTTAAGATAATGGTTTTTTCTAACTTAAAAAAGATGTTTATTTGTAGTATGAATACAGACAGTAAAATTGATTAGGAAGAGAAAATCTTTTTATCATTATATTTATCCCATGAGCAGGAGCGATATGCTGTGAATGATGTAAAAAATTGACAGAAAATATTCTCCAAATGAGCTGCTATAAAATGTTTATAAATAAAGATGCGGTTCAATGGTAGAAATATGTTCAATGCTTGTTTGCTTTCTTGAAATCTCGTTTTTAATCAATTAGTTTAGCATCTGATGCTCTTCATGTTTGGAGTTTCTTTCGATTTTCCCATATTTTTGTCTCAGCCGTATTAATACATATTTTTCATTCTTCCTCCAACCTTGCTTTGTTTCTCGGCTTCATGCGCTTATTATGCATGAAGCCACTAATATACATTCTGCACTACTGTCCTTCGTGTTTTGTGTGTGTTTCTCTTTGTCTTCTTGTTTAATGCAATGATAAAAGAACACCGCTTCTGGTTCTGAAATTTCTGATTTGCCTGTCAATCGGTTTTGTAATGTTGTAAGCAGATTTTTCATTGTTTTAAAAAATGAATTCCTCCTTTTACTCAGATCTGAAAAGTCGAAAGTAAAACGTGCTCAAATCTCCACATTGATGTCGTCACTCATTTGAACTGAGGGTGGTGTTTGTCGTGTATTACTTCCAGAATGAATATCCAGCACGACGATACCGGATATTCACTTATTACATTTTGAGGAAGTCATCCGCAGTTCAAGAGATCAGCGGCAAATTCAATAATCTTGTGACAAAGCCAGCTTCAAAGCCTTGGACGACTTTCGTGGCGTCCGTAGTTTCAGTTTTATCCACTGTACGACGTCATCCGTCAGGACTGCTTTGATACACCTCTTGGCCTTGATTCTGACATCCAGATGTTACTGTCATCTTCTTCAACGAAAGATAAGGCACTCTCATGTTTGTCATATACACACTTTAAGAGATTCATTTAGGAATACCATGGTAAATATCGTTCTTTGAAACGGCAGGTAGTAGATTAAAAAAGATTCACATCCGGAAATGTCCTAACCGTACCTAATGCACTACTCCCAAACGGGCCCTAACATCTGTGCTATAGGTAGATAAAACCAGGGGATCAAGTTGGAGCATGCAAACGTTGTACGCCTATTTAATTCCTCTGTTCCACCTACGACGATGTGGATGATTTTAAAGGCATGAATTGTCGTCGAAGTGCTTCCCCACCTGGGACGAAAGGGGAAGGGGGCGGTGGGCTCGGGTCGCGTTTTAAGGCATCTTGCCATAGAAGGAAATTTAACAGTTCCAGATGCTGATGTGTAGGTGAGATCTACCAGAATTGAGTTGCAAGTTCAAATTCAAACCA